GGGTCTTCGTGGGGTCTCGTGGGGTTCTCAAAGTGGGGTTTCGCGGGGTTCGTGGGGTTTTAATGTGGGGTTTCGTGGGTTTTCAAAGTGGGGTTTTCAAAGATGGTTTTCAAAGTGGCCCGGAGTGAAAACTTGTGCAACACCCATACGGAGAGGGAGCGCCGTCCTCTTCCAGAGCGGGTTATCTCGCTGAACACCGCGCTGAACTGCACGATCATGCACTCGCCCATACCCGATTACGCGCGGAAGGGATACAAGGCCTCCCCGGCATGCGAAGCACATGGGGTGTTGGTCTTTCCAGGGGGCGCTGTAGGCCTGCAGGAGGAGGCAAGCCTGTAGGGAGGAGGAGGCAGGCCTGCAGGGACTTGCGGGGAGGGCGTGCGGCAGCATCGCTAGCGCCTCTTGGGATGCACTCCGGTCCTGCCCCTGTTCGTCCGCACGTCCCTGCATCCCTCCCCCCCTCCTCCCCCGCTCCTTCCTCCCTCCTCCTCCTCCCTCCCTCAAGCACATGTGGCTCCGTCCATTCCGTAGGCCCCCCTTTTGGCTTATCGCTTGGACATGAGTCGCACCTCGATGCCTCAACGTGGCGCTTGAGTGGCAACGCGTCTCCTGGGCCGCGTGCGCAGTCGATCGCGTTGGCTAAATCGAGGTAAACAGTTTCAGCAAAAGGATTAATCGATTATGGCTTGTACTTTGCTAGTGTTGCTCTTGCCTCCTGTTGTTGGTACGCATCCTGAGCGCATCGGCTCCTGTCATCCTCATCTACAGTACTGGACTCGGCGCATACGGTGTGCAGAGTTGGGGTGCCCTGGCGATGATGTACAGAATGTGGGAGCCGAAGGTTGTGCCGACCGTCATCCGCTACAACGTTCTCTCAAGCACGCGCGAGAAGGGCAATCAGAGGCAGCGGATTCTCGCTGCAGAGCCAGATGGGTAGGCGCGAGGCCGACTGCATCAGCTACACTGCTCGGATCAGCGCGTGCGAGAATAACGTCTGGTGGCAGCAGGCAGGCAGGTGGGAGCAAGTCGCGGCCCGTCGGCGCATTATCAATTTCAGTGTTGTCATTGGCCAGCGGTAGCAAAGGACAGTGGCTGCAGCATTTCAATTTCTATTCCAATCTTTTAGCTGTCACTGCATGGCGATTCCCTGGTTCGTGGGATGGGGACGTGCCGGCCGTCCGTATTCTGAGCCGTGCCTTTGGTGGTGGCGTTGGTATTCAGCCTTTCACTGTCTGCTTGGATGGGGACGTGCCGGCCGTCCGTACTCTGAGCCGTGCATCAATGGATGGCTGTTTCAATGGATTGGATTATACGTGCTATGCTACAACACTGCGGTCAAGTGTGCATGGCCAATTGGTTCACAGTTTTCCCCGCTCATCGTGCAGAGTGTCTCGGTGGGCAAGCAGGTCTGGGGCTCCAGATGTTGGTGGCTCTTCGTCTGATCGACTGGGGCGGGGCGAGGCGATCTGTGGGCGAGGCGAGCTCCTGCCTTCTGGGGAGTTAGCCCAGTGATCGACAGTGTTGCTTCGGCGGCACGGCTAGGGCCTCATAGAGTCAAACTCACTTCAGCTTAGCCATTGGTCATATCAGTGCGGAGTCATTTCAACGGTTCTGTCTCAGGTCTTTTTCAATTGGCGCCTTCTTGGTGGTTGGGAGAAGGAATGAACTCATTTGTGTTGTCACGCGTCGTGAATTGATTTTCTGCGCAGTTGGCTGCTCTCAATGGGGAAGGATTCATCCGAGGTATCATCCGTGCTCCTCGGACTTCTTCGTCTTACGTAGTTGGTGCTGGTTCCTGTTCTACGCCCTCTGGTTCGTCTGCTTCAATTTCGAGCTCAGAGGGGAGTAGCCCGATTCAACCCGAGCAATGGCTCAGGTGGTGGTCGGGCGCCGTTCACTTCGCTTCGCGATCGGTCCTATCCTATCCCGTCCTATCCTCCTCCTCCCTCCTCCGCCCTCCTCCTCCCCCCCTTCCTCCTTCTCCGCGTCCTCCTCCTGCTCCGCCGCCCCCTCCTTCCTCTTTCTTCTCCAGCGCAAGTGTCCTGGAGAGAGGGAAGGAAGATGAGAGGGCGGAGCATCCTATGAACTTCGAAACACAATTCGCCACATCAGCGGGGGATCTGGACAGCAACTTTCCGCGTCCGTCCCGTCGACGCGTCGACGGAGCAAGGCGAGCCGAGCCACGCTGCGCCACTCTTTGGCCCAAAACGCCAGCCGCAAGAGAAACAACCCGGTGCTTCTGAGGACATGCGTCCCGCCAGCATCCGTGCAGCAGAGAATAGGTATAGCGCACGTGAAGGGGGGGCAAGAAGAAGCAGGCTGGACGGCCGACGCCGCCACCGCCACGCCGACGCCACACCACGGAGGGGGAGGAGAGGGCAGGGGGAGGGAGGCCGCCGTCGACAGCTAATAATCTCCGCTGTACTGGGATCCCACGTGCAAGCCACAAATGTTACTGAAAACCGGTATGGACTGTTTAGCTCGCAACCCTGATTTGCGCGAGCCAGCGCAAGGAGGAGGAGAAGGAGGAGGATGAGGAGGAAATGGAGGATAGGATAGGATAGGACCGTGGGGCGACTGCTCCGCGCCACTCTACGCACTGCGCACACACTAAGCATCTAAGCGTGACAATTAGCAACAACAAAGAGGCCGCCTGGGTTCTGCTTGTTGCAGGACTTGTCTGGATACCGTGCATGCTGGGCGCCCAGACGGGGCCGACACGGGCCTGGTGGCGGGCCCGACGGCGCGCAGCCTGCGGCTGCCACCGTAGGCACCGCCTCCAAGCATCACGATCTGTCTGGACCATGCCGTCCTTTACCTTGGTTCGTCTGGCGATTTCGTCGAAGCTCGACCGCAAGCCCAACACGCGCCAAAAACTGGAATGCATCCGCCCCCGGCTAACGACGTCCAGTCGTGTTTTATATACCCTGGGGGGCCTGCGCAGCCGTTATCCATAAACCATCGTTCAACTGGAGCCAAGAATGTGGACGCACAGCAACCGCGAGGAGGACGAAGAAGAGAGGGGAGGCAGGGGGAGGGGGGAGGGAGTAGGGGACGGGAGGCAAGGTAACTGCCGGCTAATACGTCACGTAATGTAACAGGTATGACGGGGGCAGGACGTGCATCACGCAGAAAACTGCCATGAATACCCACGAACGGCACCGCGAGATGGCTGCTGGAGCGCAGCGGTAATGCACAAAACATGCTACTCGGGCAGGAGCCCCGCCTAGGAAGGTGGAGGAGGGGAAGGAAAGGGCGAGTGAGAAAAACAGGTTGATGAATCCGACGACGACTACTACTACTACTACTACTGCTACTACTACTACTACTACTACTACTACTACTACTACTACTACTACTACTACTACTACTACTACTACTACTACTACTACTACTACTACTACTACTACTACTACTACTACTACTACTACTACTACTACTACTACTACTACTACTACTACTACTACTACTACTACTACTACTACGACTACTACGACTACTACTACGACTACTACGACTACGACGACTACGACTACGACTACTACGACTACGACTACGACTACGACTACGACTACTACTACTACTACTACTACTACTACTACTACTACTACTACTACTACTACTACTACTACTACTACTACTACTACTACTACTACTACTACTACTACTACTACTTACTACTACTACTACTACTACTACTACTACTACTACTACTACTACTACTACTACTACTACTACTACTACTACTACTACTACTACTATGTACGCGAAAGCGCCTCCCAAAGCGCTGCCTGGAACGCGCCGTCCACCTGTTCACTTGTGATGCGACCGTGTCTCAGCGCGATGTGGACCTGGTAAAAAAAAAACGCACAATGCTCTGCTCCGCGCGACGGTCTCCGCGCCCTGCGAGTCGAAGCCCAAGAACAGGTCCAACTCCCGCCCCGCAGTCGGCGGCGCCAGCCCGGCGCCCGAATCCAGGAGCCTGCGCGCCACTGAGCAATCGGCGAAATGCTGCGCTCCGTCGGGTCTGCCACCACAGCCGAACAAACAGGGGGCCTGTCATTGAGAGCAGCGGCTCGGGCACCAACCGCCGCAGAGTGTCCGCAAATCGGCAGCAGAGACTCGAGGGGCGTTGCAGGACGCCACGCGCTGGAGCCGCGCCAAAGCCCCGTGTAATCGATACCCAGGATGAGTGGCGGTTGGCCAACGGTCTAGGCGGCGCCGCAGGTGCCGCCAAACCAGCTCGTTGCTGCCCACCCGGCATGCGATGGCCACTCGGCCCTGCCAGCCCGTCCGCTCGTCCAGGCGCAGTCTATCGCGCGGCAGCTGTGACAGCCAGGCCTGCACCTGGCGGTCCGCCTCGGACAGCTGGAGCAGGAAGCATTGCGAACGCCACCGCGTCGGTCAAGCCACCCGGCCCATCGACTGGTCGTTGGCGGGCAGGACGGAACCCGCTGCCACCCCTTGCGCTGCTCTGTGGGAGGCTGGCCAAGAGGGAGGTGAGGGATCCCTGCTCATGGAATCGACTGGAGGGCCCGAGGTGAGTTCCTCCCCTGCGTGAGTGACGCGCGCGACTGGGACTGCCACCTGGAGTGGGTCAGGCATTGGGGCCGTCCGTAGAAGTGCCCCAGGAGATCAGAGCGGGGACCATGAGGCCCAGCAGCCAGCAAAGGTGCTCAGCGAGTGGTGGACGGTACAGGCTTGCAGGCGACTCACGCCGCAGGTGCGCGCTGGTCACCACCGCGTGGCGACGGCGATGGGGCCGTCAAAGGAGGGGTGGCCGATGGCCCCCAACGCACGACGGCAAGCGACCTGACGCCAGCTCCGACGACACCGCCTGTGGTGCCGCACGGCAGGAGCAGGCCAACATCCTAGGCCTGCTCACACGCTGGAGCGAGCGCTGGGTCGCCGGTCTGGGCCTGCGCGACAAAAGCGACGCTGAAGATGACTGGGTTGACTGGTGCCACCAATGCGTCGTGGCACAGCTGTCCCGCTTGCGCATGATGGCGCTCTTCACTCAGCCGCAGGCGCAGACCGTGCAGAACATCGCCATGAACAGATGTGTGCAGGCTTGGCGCCAATGGCTGAAGGTCGACACGCTTACGTTCGGCGCCTCGCCAATCGGAGGCAAGCATCAGGCTGCGACGACGCATGGCGCCCGCACCGCGAGCTGCGCAGGTACATGCAGAACGGCTGGGAGATCTTCTGGGAGCACGGCGTCGCCCCCGAAGCCTTACAGCAGCACGTCGTCGCTCCGCATGCGGGGCGTCACGGCGGCCAGGACGGCCCTGGAGAGCAGGCGCAGCCTGGCGAGAATCGGTTTCCCGAAGGCGATGACGACGAGGGTGAAGTTGGCACGGTCCGGGCAGCAGGTTCCCCCCACGCAGTGGCGGGCGTCAAGAGCCGTCGGCGATGACCCGCAGGACCGACCCGCATTTCTACGAGGCCGAGCTGCAGGTGGAGGCCCTCACGCAGCGGCTTCGGCAGCATGCGGAGACGTGGTGCCGAGGCCTGCAGGACGAGAGTGCCAGCGTCGCTCATGGGATTGACATCTGCACCGGCTACGTCACGGCTGCGCTCAACGGCGCGCAGTTCGACCGGCTCTTCGACCAGCGAGCGGACGTCGCGCAGGAGACACGGCGGCTCGCGCAGGAGATCTGCGAGATAGCCTGGGCTCGCTCACCGCCTGCGAGACTGGCGCGGCTGCGCATGGTCATGGGGCCCAACGGCAGGGAGCACGCCGACGAGCTCTTCCAGCAGCTCACCGAGTTCTGCGCCTCCCGCATCTTCCTCATCGGCCCCGCAAGATACGCCATCCCGGCGCACCTGCGGCCTAGCCGTGGACGCGTGACGCTCGCGAGTCGCGCCATCGGGGATTTGCAGCGCGACGGGTCCAGCTCACCCACGAGTGCCCCGAACACGCCTGGAGAAGGGTCCAGCGGGCAAGTGCGGCGCGATGCCGAACCGCCCCAGCCAGGCCCCCCACAGGCTGAACTTGACGGCGACGACGTGGCTGCAGCAGCCGAGGCGGGGGCCGACGACGAGAGCAGCAGCAGCGGCAGCGCCGAGGAGGACCTGGAGGAGAGCAGCGAAGACGGCAACCAAATGTGCACCGGGCTCGCGGCCTTGCAGCGCCTGCGGCTGTGCCCGAGGCGGTGGAGCGAGCCAGGCGAGAGGCGCTCACACCAGCTGCTCCTGCAGCTGGACAGCAGGCGGCCCCGCCGCACAGTCCGCCAGCCTCAGGGCCGCCTGGGGGGCGCCGCGGAGCCCAGCGCACACGAGGCTGCGGCCGCGCAGCCCACCGCCGCCGCCGCGCCGAACACGGTCGAGGAGGCCTTCGACATCGACGACATCGCACGGCTGGTGAACTGGGCGGCAGGATGAGTGGGGGACCTCCCAGACGCGGAGAGCGCTGCGCGGACCTGGCCCGACGAGTGCTATCCATACCTCGCGGTGGTGCTCGGTCCACGGTACCGAGTCATCCCGCTGCAGGAGGCCCGCTGGGCCTGGGGTGCCCCGCCCGTGGAATGACTGCTCCGCGAGATGGTCGAGACGATTTGGCTCCAGGCGGCACCGCGAAGGCGTCGGCTGCTGGCCGAGCTGCAGAAGCGAGCCAGATACGACCCCAACGACGTCATCGAATTGCAGGCAGAGCCCGTGGCTCAGGCGATCGCTGGTTTCCTGGAGGTGCTGCAGCACCCTACGCAACCTAAAGACCACACGCTGCCGCGTTCCTTGTTCCCGCCTCCGCCGTGGGAAACAGGCGCTAGCGCCTGTAGCAGCAACGGGGACGGCAGTACACTGGCGCAGCCAGCTGGGCATGACCCCGCAGCCAGCAGCGGCAGTGGCAGGGACCAGCACAGAGCGGGAGCGCCACAGGCGCAGGGGCAAGAGGCACCCAACGACGACTTGGAGGACCAAGAGGAGCCCTCGACCCCGCGGAGGAGGACCCAACCATCAGCACGGTCAGCAGGTTCAGCGGTGCAGTGATGGCAATCGCGGCGGCTGCAGCAGCAGTGACCTCCGCCCTGCAGGCACCACATGGCGATGAGGCAGAGGCACCGTCTGCGGCCGAGGTGCACAGCAACCCACGGATGGAGCTTGGCCCAACGCTCGAACGGGCGGAGAGCGCCGCGGCAGCCAGGCGCCACGCTGGGCGACGTGCCGCTGCGGAGCTCGACGAGCAACCACCGTCCGCGAAGGTCGGCAGACGCAGGACCCCCCGCGGCCCGCGGCCTCCGTGCAGCTCCCGAACCTGGCCGCCCTGGCAAGCCGTGTCGCCATCCGCGCTGCCAGAACCCAGCCGGCTGCGGGAGCAGCAGCCGCCGACGCGCACCACGCAGGCAACGAGGCGGGTCGGCCAGCGGTCAGCAGGTCGCAGGACCAGCAGGCAGCCCCCACTGCGGTGGGGTCTGAGGAGGTCGCAGCTTCACCGCCAGCTGTCGACCTGAGGGTGCTCGACAAGGTGCGCAGGGCTGTAGTGGCGGCGCAGAGGCACGTCAAGGGCGATGAGGCACCCGCCGGAGCTGAGCGGGCAGGCGCGCGGCCCTGGCTGTCTGCGGCTCTGGCAACGCGAGCAGGAGCACCCCTCCTCCTCCCGCTCCGTCACCCGCCACCGCTGCGTCCCAAGGGAAGTTGGCCCAGGGCGGAAAGGTCGCCGTGGGCCCTATCTCCGTGGGCCGAGCGCAGCCCTGCCCAGCGCATGAGCAGGTCCAGGAGGGGCCGACTCTTGCTGCAGGGGGTGCGCCCCACCGCCAAGGGTGCAAGCTCGGGCGCGCGCTCTGGTAACCCTTGAGGACCTACCCTACTTGGCCTTGTCGGCCGCTGGGCGTCTGGCGGCCCTGCTGGGCTCAGGGGCTGGGTCCCTGGTCCTGCGCCTGAGCTTGTTACTCTGGCGTCTCGGGCCCGGGCCCTAAATGGCCATGACGCCATTGGGCCGCGGGCCAAAATGCTTCGGTGCCCACCTGGTCCTGACTTGAGTTCGGACAGTAGTCAGCCGGCCCATATGGGCCAACTGGCAGCTCCCCTATGGGGTCCAACCGAACACAAACACATATCACACACCACACTCGCCACACACACACACACCAAACACACACACACACAACAAACACACACGACCACACACGACCGCACACGACCACACACACACACGACCACACACACACACACGCACACACACACACACACGCACACGCACACGCACACGCACGCGCCCGCGCCCACGCCCACGCCCACGCCCACGCCCACGCCCACGCCCACGCACACGCACGCGCACACATACCACACACAGCACACACACACACACACTACACACACCACACAAACATACCACACATACCTCACACACCACACACACACACCACACCGCACACACAAACACAACACACGCACCATACACCACACAGTATACAGTGTACAGCATACATCGTTACACGCATACACACAACACACAACACACGCAACACACACACACGCACACACACACACACACTCTTTCGGTCACACGACGCCGGGGCAAGAACCAATCGGGCGCTCAAAAAGTCGACGTCGCGCTAAGACAGGCTACCAGGGCTCGGCCCCGGGAAACCGGCAAGTGAAAAGGTGGGAAGCGCGGGCCCCTCACAGGCATTGGCGGGCGGCGGCGGGCAGCGGTCGGCGGCGCCGAACGGACACCGGCGGGCCAGCCCCTAAACGGCGGCAGCGGGGAGCGAGCAGCACCGACGGGGCCAGCGGCGCCGGCGGGTCTGCGAAGCGAGAGAGTGCTCCGAATGGGGCTCACGCCAAGGGGCGGCTGGGAGCGAGCAGCCGCTGTGAAGCAGTGGGCCTAAGCCCTCTGGGTGACAGCACCTGCGACTTACCGAGGCTCTGCGGCCACAAGGGCCACGTCGGGACTGTCAAAGACCATCGGTCTTCAGCGTGAGGTCATCGCTTTCGATCCGATAGGGACCAACGGAATGAAAGAGGCCCGAGCGCCAGGTCCGCTGAAGGGCAGGGCGCGCCATCGATCCTTTCGGCGAGGCCGTCGCTGTTGATCCAATGGCGGCGTGAAGCAATGCCGAACGACGGGACGGAAGTCAAGCCCAAGGCCGCCTCGGCACAAAGGGGAGTGGCGGACCCCGTCACCCCAGGCGTTGCAGCTGAGCGCCCCTGCTGCAGTGGCGCTGCGGACGGGGGGCGGAGGCGGAACCCAAACGCTGATCGCGCGCAGGGCAGGCACGTTATCGATTCTCACGGCGAAGCCGTCGCTGCTGATCCCGTGGCGGCGTGAAACGGAGGGCGGAGAAGCGCGGTGGCATCGCGGAGAGACAGGGAGGGCCCTCGATCCTCACAGTGAGGCCTGACACGCGCACACACACACAGACACATTTTCAGACACAATCGCACGCATTCACACATTTACACGCATTCACACACAACACACGTAGACCACACACACACACACACACACACACACACTTTTGACGTCGCGCCACGCGTGCGGTGGCGTGGCGCAAGTGAAATCGAGCGGGGCGCGCGGGCCAGGAGAAGCTGGATCCACGACAGCCGCCAGGGGGCAATCGTTCAGGGAAAACAAACACATAAACTCGCCACGCATACCACACACACAGACACATTTTTACAGGCAGCATGCGCAGCACCACGGCGGTCATAACAAGTGAGAAACCAAAGCCGCATACAAAAACACATACGCACACCGTTCTCTTGCGTCGGCAAACCCTCGTCCCGCGTCGGGGCGGTAGAGTCCCGCCAAAGCCGCGCGCCGGCAAGCGAACGCGGGCAGCGGTGGCGGGACACACACACACACACACAAACACAAACAAACACACACAAACACAACACACAAACACGCATTATCACACATTTACACACGCATGCACGTTCAGACATGCGCACACACTAAGCAACATGTTCCAGGGTCGCGCGCGGCACATAGCGCGCGAAGGCAAGGCGACGCAGGCGCGCGCAGCCTGCATCCACGCGCGAGCAAGTCTTTGCAATGGCGCATAAGTGCGTTCGAGCGCGGGCATTCGTAGGCAGACTCAGGCGGGCGCGAAAGCAAGAATAAGCGAACGCCACCAATTCGGAAGCTGTCGCAAACCACTGTGGCAGATTGTGAAGGAGAAACATATGCAAGCAAATGATAACAAATCCAAAGCGCTGTTACGACATGGCGCAGAGCAAAGCTTGCACCGTGCGGAATACTTCCTAAGCTCGTGCAGGCGAACCAGTATACATACATATATATAGACATATATATATATATATTATATATATATATATATATATATATATATATCCACGCGCGCGCTTCGCGCGCGTGGTTCTAGTCACGTCTGCGCCACGTTTTGCAGCTCTCGTTTTCGCTCGTGTGATCATCGACGACCACGACGACGACAGGGGCGGCGAAGAGTGACGACGAAGGCGGCGACAACGATGACGACGACGATCACGACGACGACGACCGCCACCACCACGACGACGACGACGCCGTCGACAACGACGACGTCCACACAGTGATTCGGTCTGGAGCTATCCTCCTCCTCCTCCTCCTCCTCCTCCTCCTCGCCACCACCTCCTCCACCTCCGCCTCTCCATCCTCCTCCTCCTCTTTGTCCTTGTTTTCTCCCGCCCCCGCGTAGGCCGAGTCAGGGCAGGATGTGGCCGCGGTCCCCGCCCATGACGCACCGACGCCGACGACGCCGACGCCGACGACGACCTCTGCGGTCACACATCGACATCTGCTCCGGATGCGTCCCTGGATCCCTTCCAAGGTCTGTTCGGTGCCGTTTTTTTTTCCCCAGAACCTGGGGATCCTGGGGCCCAGGGACGGCCCCTGGAGCCTGACAGCAATCAACATTTCTAGACAGACGCTTCGTGTATCCCCACCAGCCCGTCCAGACATGAGTCCGAGGGGAGTGGAGGTTATGAGGGAAGCGGGGGAG